TTTTTGTTCTAGCAGAAAGTTACGGCACACGTCAAAAATCAAAAAGTGAGCTTAAATGTGTGGATGCAGCATGTTCAAGGAGGTATTTACCTGACGTTACCTTTGTCCTTTAGAACTCCAGTGGTAAACTAACTGACTTCCTGAGCTTCTACACACTCCCCTCCACAGTCATGCACCACCCTGCGCACAAGAGCCTCAAGGCCGCCTACTCCTTCTACAACATTCACACGGAGACGCCCCTGCTGGACCTCATGAGTGATGCGCTCATTATAGCCAAATTGGTAAGCAGCTCCCTCCCTTTTTGTCCTGTGTGTTTCTCCAATTATGTGTGCCAAAGTATGTAAAACCTCTTACTAGAGTTCCTTTTGCACGGGTGCCATTCATTTGAGATACTTGTTACTGTTGACCATCCGTCAAAGGGAGAATTTTGGTAAGAGTTTTCTTTTAAAACTTCAGAGGCTGTTTGTATCGTTGATTCTATTGCAGCTTAGCCTAAAAGGTATTTTGTGCAAATTAGAAACTCTTAACCCTTACAGAAGAACGCATAAAACCCATAATACAAGGAATATGGGAAAAATACATGGTATCTTGATAAAAGGAATATACATGTTCGTGTTGCAGTGCTTAATTAGCAACAGGAAACTTTTCTGAACTCAACTAAATAGTCTGAATTTTAAAATTAAAGGAACTTTATTTTTAAAATTAAGGAGTTTAGTATTGAAAAGAAAGGCATTTAAAATGAAAGGAATTAAATTCAAAATGTGCTCTACTATATTTGCAATATTTTTCTATTTCCTTAGTGTGGTAGTTAGGATAATTGTTAAATTCTTGCTACAAATAAACATTTTTTTTAAAAAGTTAAAATTAGCTGACGGTTATTTCAGTGTAATTACTGGACATGAGAAAATATTATTCATGAAAAACTGAGAACATGTCAAAAGTGTCTTCTTTGATAAAGTGTCTTCTTTGATAAACTGAAAACATTTTTTTAACATAGTACTCCTGCATCTCCAAATCAGCATTACCCTATGATTCTCTGATCCTATTGCTTTTTTGCAACTACTTCCCCCCAAAAAAGGCCAATAATAAATTAAGGTAAAACCCCTGAGAAATAGAAATCTATACCACATTTTGCATATTTTTACCTAACATTTTCAAGAAATACAATTTTTACTACTAAAATTTTACTAAATTTATTTCCCAGCATCAGCCCAAGACCAAGTACACATTTAAAGTCTTTAAAGCTTTCGCGCAGTCAGAACTTCAAAAGGCCCATAACTAACAGCTCTGGAGATGGAGCCCCCTGGGCAAATGTTCCTTCTAAAAATATCCTAAGACAGTTTTGAACTGAGTTCTTAACCTATACATAGAACGTAGACATTAAACCTTGTTATAAATGCATATTCGAGCTATTAGACTTTATTACTTTATTATGTACACTGCAGTACATAATAGAAAACACTCTAGTCCTTTGATGTTTAAAATCTGAAATCCTTTTTACATTGGCAGAAAGGATTTGATGTATTCAATGCACTAGATTTGATGGAAAATAAGACCTTCTTGGAAAAACTCAAATTTGGCATAGGAGATGGCAATTTGCAGTATTACTTGTATAACTGGAGATGTCCAGGAACAGATTCTGAAAAGGTAAGTGCAGTAGCTACACCCTTTATAAACCTAATAAATGTCCTTAGGAAATCCCATACTCGCTGCCCTTAGGATTAAGGCGTTTTTTTAGTAGCTTTTAAAAAATACAGAGCTATTGTACTATAATTTATTTTTTCTCGCTTACCTGTTCTTACCATTCTGTTTCTTCCCTCCCTTTAGGTTGGACTAGTATTACAATAGATGGATATTTCTATTTCTAGAGCTCTGACATCATCATTTGTTAATATTCTATTTAATGATTCCTGGAACTGCCATTCCAAAGAAGAATAAAAGCACAACTTAACTGAAATCGATGTAGTAACAATCAGAAAAGATGGAAAAAAAAAAACACCCATATGTGACCAATAGTACATATTTCTAGCTAGAATGTTAACATTCTTTTTTCTCACTGTTTACCCATTTGTAGGAGGGATGAAAGGGTACAGAGAGCACATTCCTCTAATCTTCAGACTTTGGGCTGTCTCTTGATGAAGAGAAGGTATTTTTCCACTCTGTAGAAAAGGGACTGTTTTTCTATGGACTGAAGGGAATCACAGAACTGTGTAAGAAAATCTTTGCTATTGTGTGGAGATAAAACTGCTGCATTTCTCTTTATTAAGTGTTGGTCTGTCTGTCCGTGTAACAGAACGAAGGATCCATGTGGAAAATGTGTGCTCCCGTCACCTTACACAGTATCGCTGGGAGCATTTAGGGAATCAGCACCTTCTGTAACTCGGTTACGGAGTAGGTGGGTGTTCAAGTATAGAGGGAGATAAAAATGTACTGGGGACTGGGAAGTACATTTATTTCTCCAGAAGCAGAGTTGCCAAATAAACACACAGATGTGTACTTTGATCTCCAGCAGTCAGTGGATTGGTTCAAAAGCAAAGTTTTGTGCAAACACGTGCTGAGAGTCTACATCCATGAGTGACTAGACTTCGCTGCTGCCGCACAAACTCGTGTCTTCTCAGCAGCAGCAAGAGATGTCAGGCAAAGAAAATAAAAGCTCTGAAGTCACAAGAAATGCTCAGTGGAATTTATTAGTGCTATCAGGACATAGATAGTTTGAATGTTTTTTATTACTTATGCAAAATTGCACATATTCCTTTACGCTGACTTTAATTTATCATGAAAGCTGTCATGCTAATGGAAAATATCTTATTATGTAAATAAGTATTCATAATTTTGTTACTGATGGTGTTTTTATCTAGAATTTGAAAACCCAGTTTTTGCAGTGTACATATACATGTATACATCGCCAGTAGTCCAAGGCGGGGGAGGAATATGCCGAACGAGGCCACAAAGCACGGGCTTTGACTCAGACAGAGTAGATCCTTCTTCCTGCCTTTACTGGGCCAGTGCCTAGGCTCTTCAGTCCAGAAAAATTTAATTTTAGACAACATGACAGCCTTTCCTTTATGTTCTAAGTGGTCAAATGAAAGCAGTCATCTCTTAGATCAGGTAGGAGCCAGCAAACTCTGGCCCATGAGCTAGATCCAGCCTGTCCCTTGTTTTTGTAGAGCCTATGAGCTAAGAATGGTTTTCACATTTTTGAATGGTTGCTGGGATGGGGCGGCGGGCGGGGGGGGGGGGGGAATACGGGGAGGGGAGAATCAAAGGAATAACATTTTGTGACATGTGAAAATAATAGGACACTCAAATCTCGGCATCCATAAAGTTTTACTGGAACACAGCCACACTCATTTGCTTATGTATCGCCTGTGGCTGCTTCACGCTACAAAGGCAGAGTTGAGTTATTCTAACAGAACTGTATGGCCCAAAAGTCCTAAAATATTTACTCTCTGGCCCTTAACGGGAGAAAAAAAAAAATTGTCGTCCCCGACTCACACTAGAGCTGAAAGCCACTCTACACCTTCCTACCATCGTCCTAAAGACAAACCCGCAGCTGTGACTACCACTAGAGGGCGCTCGGGGACCGCACAGTAGTGCAGTCGGGCCGGCGGGGTTTACCATTTTGAAGGCTTAGAGAAGACTTAGCATATAGGACGATTCCGACTCCACTGCATTACCATTCTTTCTTAACAGGAGGGTGGCTTCGGAAGCAAAACTGAACCAGTCCACCAAAACACCAAGAATTAAGTAAATGGGGTTTTAATCTGGAGTCAAGTCTCTAGTTGGGAACTGTGTTCCATTCATTTTTAAGGCACAGCCTTATATGATACAGGTTTTCAGATTGCAGAATTGCCAGTCAGTAATTCTATCACAAGCTCACGTCGTGATAAAACTGGCACTTTTCCTTTATTTGTTTACATAATTCCAGTTGTTATAGAATTCAGATGCTTTTAATACAGTAATTAATAGCATATTTTCCTCTTTATAATTTAGATTACCAATGAACATTTCAAAATTGAAAATTGATAAAACTACTTGTGTTTATAAAATAGTTACTAGAATTAAATTTCACTGCATTATACAGTGTCTTAAAGATTCAAAAAAACCTTGTCCTTCATCTTTGACAACAATGGAAATGCTCTATGCCATGAGGTGTCTTTCCCTCCCCATCCCCCCCCTTTTTTTTTGCCAAGATGGCATTTAGTAAAATTTAAAAGAACAGCGGTGGCATAATCCAAGAGTCAACCAGAATTTAGGCTGAAAATATACTTTAGCAATCCAGTACCTTCCCCCTAAATTACAAAAGGACCTTTTCCAAACACACATTGCAAATGGCAGACACTTGAACACAGACATGGAGGACTGATTATGCTCCATTTTCCAACATGAAGAACCCCAGTAATTGCGCAAACCCATCTCTGAGACCTCAAGCTCCTCACTTCATTTCTCTTCCTGCCTCATTTGACCTAATTACCAGCATACTTTTTACCCATGTTAATTTTCCAAGGAAATAAGTTAACCATGTAAAGAGGTGAATTTCAACCATTCAAAATACCGCATCTGGCTTTTTCCTATTAGCTCATGCATATGCCTACTACAAAGAAAGTCAAATCAACAGGAGGTAAAAAAAATTTTTTTTCTCCTGATAGGTTTCTGAAGACAATGTATTGCTTGGTGTTTAGTATCTTTCTTTTAAAACTGATTGATCTCCAATCCAGTTTCATCTGCATTACTAACGAGAACCTGTTTACTGTGGCACATTTTCCAAGTTTGATTAGAAAGATGTCAAGTGTTGTAGGATACAGAATTTCTTGCTTACAAGCATTGTACCAGCCTTTTAAAAAATGAATTTATACAAGCATGGACATTAGTTTCAATAAACTTTTGTTTTGATATTCATACTTTTGAATATTTTCTGCACTTAAGTGTTTTTAAGTGTCAGCCTATTTATACAAAGTCTTACACCTATGAAAGGAATGTTACTAAAAGCATCCCAAGAATATATGTAAAAATAACACATTTTATTAGTTTCAAGGCTTCTTTACGAAGTGTTTTACAGCTGTGCGAAATGACAAGTTTATAGAAGATTACTTTGAAGTCGTTTTTTTACCTTTGGGTGGCTTCCTTATCTTATTGGGGTTTGGAATCACTTTTTTTATTTTAAGGGGCTGTAACACAACAGCCGGCTGACCTTCAACAAGCTTCCTTTTATGTTTAGAGAGGTCTTCAAAGGAAGTTTCCAAAATCTCTTTGTCTTGGCTTTCCAAAGATTCAGTGTCTAATTTTTCCCTGGAGTCTTCCGGCCTGCCTTGAAGCCATGGCACGTGTAAACGCGGTACTCTGGGAATTATGGCCTTGACTTCATCAACAAAGGCAGTGCTGTCCTTTCTGAACCCCAAGGCCAGGACACATTTTAAGCCAACGACAGGTGCGAGTGTCTCACTGAGACGGGGAACCTGACAAGCCGGAACGGATCTGCTCAAACTTAACTGAATCAGGTGTGAGGTGATGAGCGCGGGCTTGGCTGACTTACACACCAGGACCAGCACTAGCCCGTTCCTTTCCAGAGCTCTGGTAACCTCATTAACGCCAATGGTCAGCTGCTTCCTGATGTGGGCAGGAGACCACCCTGACCCTTGCCCATTATCTCCTGGTGGTGTCTCCTTATGACCCTCACTCGTATCAACTTCTGTGCTACATTTGTCTGGGCTTTGTTTTTTTAAAAACTGTTTTTTCTTTTTCTTCTTATCCTCAGTCTTCTGAAGCCCAAGCGATTTAAATCTGTCTTCAAGGGTGTGTAATATAAAGTGCATGTCTTCTCTCTCTAGTGCACTCCAGCAGATAGCGTATGGGTTGTTCAGCGCTGTCTTTACCGTTAAAGGTCTTGTCTTCCGAACAGAGCCCCTCCCTGGTGCTTGAGGGGCTGCAGCCATTCTGAAAATCTTTCCTAAGAAGCAGACGACAAAGTAAATTAGTGTTACGAGCCGTGCATGTCAGAAGAATATCTTGTTTGCACTCTTTCTGATTCCTGACAGGCTACAGCAAGCCTGACTACACAGAACCAATGACATGACCATACACTAAACCTCTTTTAAGATTAAGGAATTTTATGTTCCCCATTTTTTCATGACTTTGTCTTTATTCTTATACAGGTAATATATAAATGTTTTGCATTACTGCAATCACAGTGATATCCTATTTCGTTTATTAAAAATGTTCCATGTTTCTTACCTGTTCATGATTATCTTTTTTAATGACCGTGTGGTATTAATCTTACAAATCTGTTACCATTTTCTGAGTTGCTCTCCAGTTAGGCCTCCATCCCACAAAGACTCCCTGAGCACCCCCCGTGTGCAGGCAGCGAACAAGTCCACCTGCATGGAGCCCCCAAGCTGTGTGGGCCCAGAAGCCTCTGCTGTTCATAATCAACCAGGTGTCGGTTTTTAAGAACCAGGAGAGTAATCTATGTACACGCTTACAAATTCAAATAATACTTTCATTCTATGCCCTTTTGTAAGTCTCCCTCCCTCCCTCCCTGAACTCTAGGCTTCTTGTATATCCTTCCTTAAACATCTCCCACATACACAGGTATACATTCCCCCTTCTGGACAGTTATTCCAAGCTGACTGCTTCTGCAGCTGGCAACTTGATGAAAACTAGGGAAATTTTGTGATGAAACTTAAAAATACTAATCCGTTAAAGAAAAATAAGAAGGATCCTTCCTGGGAAAATGTTATAAACCACTGATGTAGGGAGCATATCTTGGCTCTCCTTCCCAGAGCAAGTGCATTTGTCTTCCCTCGCTTCTTCCTGGTGCTCAGCTAAGAACCATAGTGACCTACATGGCAAAACTGAAGGAAGTTACATGAGCCAGCCCACGAGAAGTCTGACATCTGGAACTGTCCCTATTTTCAGATGACCAGATTTTCTCCCTCCAGACAGTCCCTCATTCCAGGTAGCCATTTATCCCACTGAGGCTTGCCTTCCCCGAAATGCCCCATGCACAATTAAGAATTAAGTCCTCTCCAACTGAACTTCCACTCACCGGGCTGGCTACTGATGGTAAAGAGCAGGTGTCTTTGTGGAGTGTGTCAGAACTTAGAAGGCATTTTCTCCATGTATTACTTGATGCTCACAAAATTCCTATAGAATTGCCCAACGTGTGGGTGAAGAAACGGGTTAAATGCCTTGCCCAAAGTCACAACTGGTTTTCCAAACCCAAACTTTATGCTTTTTCAATCCTGGCTGCACCTCAAAAATAACCTGTTGCCTTCTAAAACATACACATGGTTGGTCCTTACCCTGGATGTACTGAATTGGAGCCCCTGGGGATAGGACCCAGGACACCTGTATTTGTAAAAAAAAAAAAAAAAAAAAAAAAAAAAAAAACTGTCCAGGTGAGTCCGATCCAGAACAGAGTTAGAACAGCTGGAGCAGGACAGGCTGCCTCTTGACCCTGAACAGCCGTGAGAAATGGCTTCCTGACCTCCACTGGTCTCCAGTGCACCTCCTAAGTCACCTTCTAACAGAAATCTAAAATTCAGCTCCTCCGGGCAGGGTCAGACTTCGGTCATACCAGTGCTGCCAGAGCCTTGGTACCTGCTGCACAAGCCGCTTCCTCCATACCTGCCCCTCTGCACAGCCCTCCTCGTCCCCCATTTTCTTCATGTTCCCCTCCAGCTCAGGGAGTCAGGAAGTAGCTCAGCCAAATCCTTGGTAGAGGACTGGCATCAGGTTGAAGGTGGTCAGGAAGACAAGACAAATACGATGTAACAGAGCTCTTGCCAAACTGCAAGTCAGCTCATGGGCCTCAGCATTCAAACAGCACAGAATGCGGAAATCCTTAAGTAAATACTGCAAAGAGCTGTATGCTCTGGAGGGAGAGTCAGCTAGGCACAAACTCCCATCTTCAGAATCTAGCGAGGGGAGACAAGGGCCAAGTAGTTCAGATATGCAGACTCTTACACCATATAATCCAAAGACAAAGTACTGATTGATGAGAAGAAGTAATGGTTTTGGAGGAGAAAAACAGGAAGGCTTTGCTGAGGTGCCTTTTGAGCTAGGTCTTGGAGGCATTCACTACATACAGGATCAAGCGCAAACCCTTTAAGGTGACCTACAAGGCCCTCCACACTCTGGCCCTCATCTTCCACCAGCCTCTTCCACCATGCACAATTACACCCCGCCACTGAACCACTTACTGTTGAAGGAGGCCACCAGTTTCTGACCTCCACATCCTCATACACATTCTTCCCTTCCACCTTCAGCTCCCACAACCACCTTTCTTCAGCAAGTATTTCTGGATTATCCACAATGCACCAAGCCATAAAGTATTAAAGTAAAAAGTTACTAGCCTCACCGTGCTTAGAATCCCTGAAGAAGACCTATCAGCAGGTAATAACATAATAAGATGTGCACGTTCAAGTCCGGGAACTACAGAATACTAAGGAAACAGCAGAAGCTAACTTAGCTTAAGGAGTCGGAAAAGAGGTCCTGGAGAAAGTGACCTTTTAACCTACATCTGAAGAATGCCTGCCAAAGGGAGTATGAAAGGGAGTATGAAACAGAGTATCCCAGGGAACAACATTAAGGACACGAATTAAGTTCAACATCGCTGGGGCAGAGATGCTAAAGAGGGTGAGGTAATTAGGGAAAGGAAGGAAGGACGAGAGGGTGAAGGTCCTTGCAAACCTTATAAATGGGGAGCAACTGTAACGTTTAAAACAAGAGTGCCGTGATTTGAAAGGCACTGCAAAAAGATCTTTGCGGGTTCCGGGCCTGGAAGCGTCCTTTGCCAAGAGTGGAAGGAGCAAAGAGGTTCCCAGAGTAGGCAGGACGGTGGCCTGCTCTAGAGTCGCCGCAGAGGGGATGGGACAGAAACACACAAAGTTGAAATAGTTAAGAGGGAGAATCTACCAGGCTTGGTGCTATCACCCGGGAGTAAAGCAGAGGGAGGACTCCGGTCTCTAGACCCGGTAGCGGAGGGGAGGACAGCCCCAGTCCCCGCTGGCTACATTCCTGTCTGAGTCCCTCTCCCTGTGCATGCTGCCCTGTGTCTAGTGCCTCATTCTTCACTATTTAGATTCGCAAACTCTAGTTATTTTGTGGTCCGTCCCCGGTTCTCGTCTGTGGAGCACTGAAGGACCAGGGTGGGCTTTATCTTACTATTTCCCGTACCCTACAGATGCTCAACTCCAGAAAGAGGAGAGTAAACCAAGGCCTAGGAAAGGACGCCCGTTCACGCGGGGGCGGCCCGAGAGACGGGTCTCGGGGAAGACCTCGGGACCTCGCGTGCCCGCCGCCCTCCGCACTATGCCGCCTCCCAGGCCGGATCCCAGCCGGGGCGCGACCCTCCGGTCCCCTTACGTCCTCCGCACCCCGTTCCCACTCACGATGGCAACCGCACCACCTCCACGTGCGACGCGCGTGCGCAGAGCCCTCGCCCTCCCTGGCCCCGCCTTCCAAATGCTCAGAGAGCTTCGCACCCCATCATCTCACCTCGTCACTCACAAAGGAGAGAGCCGGCCCACAGCTTCGCGAGGCCCCAGCTATAAAAGCCGTGAGTTTGGGAATGTGGCTGGGAGGCTCAGGGCGCAGCCCTACAGCGGCAATGCGCAGGCGCAACGCCGGTCTCGCGAGACCTCACGGTTGCCGTGGTAACCCGCGGCTCACAGGCTGCACAGCGTGGTCTGGGGGCTGTTCGAACGCCGGCAGCCGCGGGAAGGCTGGTTGTCTCCTGTGTCGCTCTCTCCCTTCTAGTTTCTCCCTTTCGGCGCCTGATAGTCTTGGCTCTCTCGTCTCTCTTTTCTGTATTTGGCTTGCCTAAGGGGACGCAAAACCCTAGTTCCCGTCCAGTGTCCCCATCTCCGGCGACTCTCCGGCACCAGGAAGATAAACGGGGGGATCAGGGGTGGTTTGAGATTAAAAAAAACGTGTCTACGGGCAACAGTGTAGGCCCTCTTGAGCCCCCTGAAAGAGGAGAGTAAAGGCTTCTTTGCGTTCTGCGACAGCAGCTCTGAAAACTCCAAATGTCTGCTGTAGCTACTCCGACCGGTGGGAACTAAAGGTACGAATGGAGTCGCTGGGAAGTTATGGACAACTGCAATAAATCAGCTGAAGGACATTTGCAAGGTCGAGCATCTGGATCTTGTTTTACCCGTGGCGGGAACTTAAAAGAAAGTAGGTTGCTTCTGACCTAAAGAGCCTCCTCCCTCACCACCCCAGTCCTTTCTCTTTTCTAGCCTAACTTAGCGCCCCTTACTTTTCCTCTCTCCATATTTCTCAGAACTTTTCCCTTCTCAATCTCTTCACTACTCGTTTGGTTTTACATTTTTTAATCTGTTTTCTCCATTTTCAGTTCTTATCACCTACGTAGTATCTAAATGGCCATAACAGAAAACAAAACAAAAAACCGTGTTCCTTTTGGTCAAAGATTTCTGCAGGTTACACAGGGTTAAAGTACAATGTGATTTTTTTTTTAAATCACAAAAAGAATGAAGTTACAACGAGTTTGAAGCTTTTGTTTCGTAAAATGAATCTTACTGAGTCATTATGATAAACTGCAAACATCCATTCTTAGATCTAGCTTAAGTAGTCTTAGATCTAGCTTTCAAGCTGTAAGAGAAACGCTGACACACATATCTACTTGAAATGCTAGAATAATGGGAAGGAATTGTGCACAAGTGTTTGTCCCCCTAAGGTTCCAGAGTGTAGAGTTAGATTTAATAGCATCCATCTAAATTTACATTCGCTCTATGAAGATTACCTACCCTTACATCCCACAGCTCCGGAGCCAGTTTGCCTACCGGAAATCCTAACTTCATCTCTGGCGAGGCATGTGACCCCTAAAGCAAGCTAATTAACCCTTGAGGTGATAAAAATAGTACCTGTTGTGCTTATTAGAAGAAATAATCTATGTAAGATGATTAGCACAGTCCCTGGCATGCAGAAAGTGCTTGATAATTCTGTGATGAATCTAGTGACAACCTGAATGAGGAGTTAATAAAAATTAACAGTGGCCTCTATGACTTGAGTGCTTGTGTTTTATTTTGAGACCACCAATGTAGTTTCCCCAAGAATTTTGCTAACATGACTACATTTTAAAGGTAACTTCTCTCATTTGGATCGTACAAACTTTGCAAGAGAAAAAGTAAACAATCCTCCCATGACCCAATTGCCTCGAAACATATTTCCTTTCTGTGTTCCCTTGTAATTTGTTTCACACTTATACATGCAATTAAATTGTGAAATAATAACACAAGATTAAAATTTGTGTTCTGATTTTCTTCCCATATAACACTTTTGGATGTTTCCCAGTCTTCAAGTTATCACTTTAATTCATATATGTGTTGTATGTGTATATATACATATATATAACATTTAATGACAGATGTTTCAATTATTTTACCCTGTAAAACCTCAATTTTGTTTTTGAGTAATAAAGTTTTCTTTTTATATTAACTCTAGAATTGGACTATTGTTAGATTTATATGCTTGTCATGATGTAAGAGTGGCTTAAGGGACCTGGTGATAAATCATGTCATTAGAGGCAATGTAAATGTGAGGTGTTTCAAGCAGTTAAGGGATCTCTAAGTAACAGCTGGTGGCAGTGCCACACATCTGTAGATAAAGTCAGTAAGGAGAAAAAGATTCTAATTGGATTTAGACCATTTATTATACTTAGAAGACAGCAAAAGCAAGATCAGCAGGATCTTAACGCCCATGGGACAATATCCCTAGTCCCAGAGATCAATAACCATAGGTGTCATGAGTGATGCGTCACTCTGCATTAACAAATCAACTTTACACTTCAGCTGAGCAGTTTCATAGACTTACACAGAAGCCCACAGCTGTACCCTAAGGTGGCAAGGTGATGGGGGGAAGGGGAGGGCAACATGAAAAGCATTAGTCTCCACTAAAACTAGAGAAATGGAAGAGAAACATCCTTGTGGGAGTTTCCCACAAGATAGGGACCTAGGGGCGCTTGGGTGGCTCCGTCGGTTAAGCATCCAGCTCTTGATTTTGGCTCAGGTCATGATCTCAGGGTCATGAGATTCTCTCTCTCCCTCCCCGCCCCCCCCCCCCGCCCGGGCACCACTCCCTCTCTCTCTCTCTCTAAAACAAACAAAAAAGATTGCCACCTTGCTCCAGGAAGAATCCCAGGCATTCTGCCAAGACTCAGACTGCAGTCAGGCCTTGCCTACATGGCTACATGCAAGGTTGTCAGGGGCCTTGGCAGAGAGCCTTCTATTATAAAGGAGAGATTTGAAAGACCTTACATCAAATGGTCACAAAGCTGGGATTTTTTTTTTTTTAAGATTTTATTTATTCATTTGAGACAGAGAGCACAAGCAGGGCAAGAGGCAGAGGCAGAGGGAGAAGCAGACTCCCCACTGAGCAGGGAGCCCGATGTGGGACTCGATCCCAGGACCCTGAGATCATGACCTGAGCTGAAGGCAGATGCTTAACCATCTGAGCCACCCAGGCGTCCCCCCTCCTTTTTTTTAAAGTAGACTATTTATTAGAGTTTTGTTTTATTTTTACAGGCAAAAGCCTAATGTGGTATGATGCTAGCCTTTAGATTTTCCATAGGTCCTGAAGAGCCAGCAACAGTAATTTTGGAAATAAAGTGTCTATATGATATAAAGTTAGCTGCAAGTAACTATTCAAAATATGCCATACGTATACATAAACATAAACCTATAATTTTAGAATTAAAGTATAGAAATTTATATTAATTAAATTATCACAGAATTCTTTCTGAAGCAATATGAGAACAAATGATTGAGAAGCACTTTTAATGTAGAAATATGTATATATGTCTATAAGTATGTATTAGGTGAAAAGTATAAATAGCATTTTACTTTATTCACCGGTTTTTATTGAGCATCTTTTATGTCAAGCAATGTGCCAGATGCTATATACCTAAGAATGTTTCCTTCCTTCCTTTTGTCAACAGATTAACAGTATTTATTGAATTCTAAGTTAGGGATAAAGCAGTGAACCAAAGTTCTAATGGAGGAGACAGACAATAAAACAAAGAAAGTAAAATATATAGTATATTAGGTGATGAAAAGCACTGTGGGAAAAAAGATTCAATGCAATCCCTATTAAAATCCCAATGGGTGTTTTTGTTGAATTAGAAAGACCCACCCTAAAATTCATACTGTATCTCAAGGAACCCCCTGAATAGCCAAAACAATCTTGGAAATGAAGAACAAAATTGGAGGACTCACACTTTCTGATATTAAAAACTTACTACAAATCTATAATAATCAAAACAGTGTGGTATTGGCATAAAGACAGTGGAGTAGAGAGCCCAGAAATAAACTCTCACATATATGGTCAATTAATTTTTGACAAGGGGACCAAGACAATTTAATGGGGAAGGAGGTTTTTTTCCCAACAAATGGTGCTGGGAAAACTGGATATCCACATGCATATGAATGAAGTTGAACCCTTACTTGTATCCCATACAAAAATTAACTCAAAGTGGGGCACCTGGGTGGCAGTCAGTTAAGCATCCAACTCTCAGTTTTGGCTTAAGTCGTGATCTCAGGGTCATTATCTCGGGGTTGCGAGATCAAGCCCTGCATCAGCCTCTGTGCTCAGCACAGAATCTGCTTAAGATTCTCTCTCTCCCTCTGCCCCTCCTGCTTGTGTGCTTGCTCTCCCTCTCCAAAATAAATAAATCAATCTTAAAAAAAAAACAATTCAAGGGGTACCTGGGTGGCTCATCAGTTGGGTGTCTGCCTTCAGCTCAGGTTGTAGTCCTAGGATCCTGGGATCGAACCCCGTGTCAGGCTCCCTGCTCAGCAGGGAAGCAGAGAAGCAGAGAAGTCTGCTTCTCCCTCTACCTCTATCCCTCCCCCCTGCTCATGCTTTCTCTTGCTTGCTCGTGCTCTCTCTCTCTCAAATAAATAAAATCTAAAAAAATTAAAATACAAGATTAAAGACACATATGATCATCCCAATAGATGTTTAAAAAAAGTTTTTGATGAAATCCTACATCCATTCGTGAAAACAAATTTTGCCAAACTACAAATAGGAAGAAACATACTAAACATATATATCCACTGAAATAAGCCAGCTGCAGTGAACATACCACATTTGATGGTGAAACTCTGGAAGCATTACCTTTAAGGAATTATATACTACTTGTCCTATTCATTATTATACTCAGTTCCTGGCTACTGCAGAAAAGCAAAGAAAAGAAAGATCTGAGGATTGGAAATGACAAAATGAAACTGTCATTATTCATAGACTATTGTTTGCTAAATAGGAAACCCAAAATAATTTACTGAAAAATAATTAAAAGATTTATCAAGACTGCTGGATAAAGAGTCAGCATACAAAAATCAATTCCCTTTCTCTGTAGCAGTTACAAAAGAACTAACAATGAAATTTTTAAAAACATTTAATCTAACATAATAAAAAATTATAAAGTTACTTAGAAATAAATCCACATGGGGCGCCTGGGTGGCTCAGTCGTTGAGCGTCTACCTTTGGCTCAGGTCATGGTCCCGGGGTCCTGGGATGGAGCCCCGCATGGGGCTTCCCTGCTCAGTGGGAAGCCTGCTTCTCCCTCTCCCACTCCCCCTGCTTGTGTTCCCTCTCTCGCTGTGTCTCTCTCTGTCAAATAAATAAATACAATCTTTAAAAAAATAATAACACTTATTACCTCCTATCTTTTGATAGACTATATAATCTGCTTATTATATGTGTGATTGTCTGTAACCCCCTACCAGAATGTAATGCAAGGATAAGGATCTTGTTTGTTCTGTTGACTAATGTTTTTCAAGAACCTAGAGCAGTGCCTTGCTCATATTAGGCACTCAATAACTATTTGAATGAATGAAAGAATGAATAAGGAAGACAGGATGGAATGGAATCAGGAGAGTCACAAAGGTAAAGGTAATGTTCTATTTCTTAAACTGGTGGTAGGTTCATGAATGTGCCCTTTATTTTTAGAATTTTACATATATATCGATATATGTATATTGGTTTGTAATCAATATTTAATAAATAGTAAAAAAAAAAAAAAGGAACTTGATTGTCCAAATTGACTCACTCCCGAAGGAAAGCTGAGTTTTTACTGTACCTAGTATATTATTATCACTGGGCAGAAGACATCAATATTTCCATTGTCTTTTCTCTCTCGTTCTGCAGAACGAGACACCATGGCTCTAGCCTCTGTTTATGGGAGGGCAACTCAAGAGAAGAACATGCTTTGAAAAGAGTTCTTAGAAGAACATTCTAGACTTAGAGAATAAAACAGAGCACAGTGTACCTTCCCCTCCCCCCTTTCCTGATTTCTTATAATGACTGTAATGCCCAAATGTCTCAGCTTCTAAATACACCTCGATACTGGCGTTTGCCAGTATCTGGCAACTGAAACTATCTGTATCTGGCCTACTGAAACACTGTTAGGGCTTCCTCAGCAGAGAAAGCACTCACTGTTCTGAAGTTGCTATTTGCCTTTGTACCCCACAGTGTATCTCCCATCACCTGCAAATTTGAAAACTAAAAAATCCTGGCGGTAGATTTTGCTAACATTTGCTTTTTATCTTTTACTTAAAAATTCATTGATTATACCGTGAAAGTATTTTTGAGGAGATTTAAAAACCAAGGGATTTACATGAAAAGGTAAAGCAAATTTTTTAAAAGATTTTATTTATTTACTTGAGAGAGAGAGAGAGAGACAGAGAGAACACAAGCAGGGGGAGAGAGGGAGAGGGAGAAACAGACTCCCTGCTGAGCAGGGATTTCCTCCCCACCCCTCCCCTACGTGGGGCTCCATCCCAGGACCCTGGGATCATGACCTGAGCCGACCTTAGCCCACTGAGCGACCCAGGCGCCCCAAGCAATATTTTTTAAATGTAGTTTTATGCAAAAACAAGCTAAAATGTTTTGGGGCCTTTCGTCTCCACCGCTTGCATTGTTATGTTAGACGTTTCAGATCGATAACTCTCTGACCCCTGAATTTGTCAGTTCTTCCAGTCACTTCGCTCCAGAAGGTTTCTTCTTAAAAGAGTCGGAAATGAACTCCTCCTATGACCAGGAAATGCTGTTCCAGTTCTTTGAAAACTTAATCAAATGTGAATCACAACCCCATTCTGTGTGTCTGCAGACTTGCAGTGACATTGGTTTTGTTGCCCTGGAGAATGGGGTCAAACTGAATAGATGCGTGCTTCTGTGCCTTTACAATAACCGAGAGCTAGTTAGGGTGGTTGCAGCCCGTGTTCAGAATGTGTTTTTGCTTTTTAAAGACGCCTTTTTCATTCCTGATGAATTGTTCCTAGAGATACGAGAGGAGGCTTGAGAGATCTCAAAAAACTGCCATCCAGGTTTCTAGGAATTACGAGAGGACAGAGGGAGACATATACCAAAAGGAATCCCCACTGAGGTCCGTGGGGATTTCTCTGGATTTCCGGCAAACAACCTCTTGAGAAAGAATTGGGGAGCAAGCCAAGAGCGGAGAGAAACTCATTTAAATTCCCTGCTCCTCGCCTTTCCAGTTGCCGTCGCGCTGGCTGCTCAGAACACTGGCGCGCCGCTTGGGACGCGGGCGGGCGCCGAGGTCAGGGCAGATGCTACTCACTGTTCAGCCCCGCCCCCTAGTACTGGGCGCCAATGGGAACCGGCTGGGTCCATAGCACAGCCAATGGGAGCCGGCGGGCGGAGGCGCGCCTCCATTTAAGGAGGCCCGCCGCACGGGCTCCAGGGACCGGCGCCTCAGGAGTGCGGCGGTAGCTGAGTGCTGTCACCATGTCTTCTTTGCAGGTGAGTCGAAGGGTGCGGAGGCAGCCCAAGAGGGCTTCCTCCTCAGAGGGAAGCGCTCGAGTGAGGCGTGGGGCAGGCGTGACGCCCCCGGGTGGCGGGCGACTCGGAACTCGAGTCCTGCAGTCTTCGCTCCCTGGGTTTCCCCCCCACCCGGAATTGTCCGGAGTGACCCCGCGGACCCTCCCACCCCCATCGCGAGCGCCCGCTTATTGCAGTGGGGACCGCACCGGTGCCATCTGTTGACGGCGAGCCGGGGCTCCCTATGGCAACACTTGTGAGCCCCGGGGATTGGTTACTCGCAAAGTAAGCGCTGGCCCCGGGGAGGGCGGACACCGGGCGGCCCTGCTCCGCCCGCTCTTTCCATCCGGGAGAGGGAGGCGACGGCGGCTGGGGTGCCACCCGCGCCCCCTCGCTCCTTGGTAAGGCAAGTGTTTTTCTGAACAGCAGAGATCTGTAAAACTACAAAATAGTTTTGCTGGTATGCGAAAAAATTTATGTTCAGGGTGGGAACTTCGGGGGAAAGAGAACAAATATAAAGTAAGTAAAAACCATTAGGAATTCCTTCACCCAGGTGATAACCACTGCTAACATGAGGGATTACATTCTTGTATGTGTGAAAAATGTGTGTGTATATTTGTGCCTGTGTGTGCTTGCACATGCATGTGCATGCATATGTACATGCATGTGCATGTGTGTATATACACACACTGATTCGATTAGACTCTTAAGTATATACAGTTTTGTTCCTGTACCTATCACTATATTAGGAGCATTTTTCATCATTAAATATTCTTCTAAAATAAAATTTGAAAAAATACCTGCATACAATTTCACAGAATGAGCATGGCTCACTTCTTTAAAGATTCCTTTTTTTTTTTTAGATTTTTTTTAATTTTGGGGGGAGGGAGGGAGGGGCAGAGAGAGAATCCTCAAGCAGGCTCTACGCCCAGTGCAGAGCCCCACGTGGGGGCTCGATACCAGGACCCTGAGATCACTACCTGAGCCAAAATCACGAGTTGGGCGTCTTAACCCACTGAGCCACCCAGATGCCCCCCCTTAAGGATTCTTTAAGCAGTATGTTATGGTGACTAAAGGCACATACTCCAGAGTCGGCCAGGTTCAAATCCAAACCTCACCCCTTCTTAGTCCGTGATGTAGTTGCTTAACCTCTCTGTGCCGATTTCCTCATCCAAAAATGGAGGAGAGAGACTGTCAAGATTAAATGAGCTACATGTATAGAGCAAGTAAAACAGTGCCTGCCGTGTGGTAAGTACCCAATAAGGAAAGTGTGTCCTTGAACACTTAGATAGTTTTCACTTATGTAGGACAAATAATTCATATTGAGCTTTCCTCAAAATAATCAAACCTTTCAATATCAAAACTGTATTCCTTTTTAGCTTAGTATTTTGTTTTGTTTGGCAAACAAATGGGATTTCTAATTCAGCTATAATCTCCAAACTTTATTTTAAACTTACAGTAGGTTTACTTCAGTAGCAAAACTTTTAGCAAAGCTGAGAGCCAGGTAAACTGGATGTATTTCTTTTTTAGAAGTTGATGCTCAAAGGCGGACTGCTTCTTCAAGAAGCTACATCTTTTTGAGTCTTGGGGGTTCATGATTTTACAATGGGCAAATCATTAACCCCTTTCCCTCCATGCATGTTTGTATGACTTAAGAACCATGCAGTGTGAGAATTTATGATCTTCCTAATTCAGCTCCTCAATGGGAAATGATTGCTCAAAAAGGTTGTCAGCGTGCCTGGGTGGCTCAGTTGGTTGAGCATCCGACTCTTGGTTTCAGCTCCGGTCATGATCTCAGGATTGTGAGATCAAGCCTCACATTGGGCTCTGCACTCACCGCAGCGTCGGCTTGAGGTTCTCTCTCCCTCTCTCCTTCAACCCCTCACCCCACTCACACACTCTCTCTCTCTAAAATAAATAAATAAATCTTAAAAAAAAAAAAAGGTTTTGTCAACCTCGTATTGTGGGATGACCATGTTCTTTGGCTGCAGAAGGTAGAACTAGATTAGGTGAGAGTCACCTTCAGAGGCTATTTTCAGCTGTGATGAAATTGGAAAGGAAACTTACCCAGAGGCCAGGGTGGTCAATACTCCTAGGTGGTAAGAGGGTAGAGGGTTCCAGCTCCGGGAAAGCAGGATGCACCCCCTGTGAGTGCTGGTGGGGACACTGGGGTCACTACTACACCAGGTGTGGTCAGAGGGCCTTATGAAAACATGAACAGGAGAGAGTCTGGGGAGAGGCCTTCTGAGGGAAATGATGTACACATGCATTCAAGCGGGACACCGAGGCCCCAGCACTAGAAGAATGAGCTCAGCAAAGGCTGAAATTCCTCACCAAAAGCAATGAGCCCAGCTCCACAGTGGCACAGGGACATTACTGAACTCCCCCTTTGACCCAGAATGCTTTGGAATTAAGTGTAAACAACTGTACATTTCAAGCTGTTTCTCAACTCTGATAGTTTTCAGACCCACCTAATATCCACTCACTCATTGATTTATTCACCAAGGACTCAGAGGGGCTGGTACTGCCTACCAGTGCTCTCTGTAAGGCATGAATACTTACGCCTGCCCTCTGTTATGCATATATGGGGGAAAAAAATCCAGTCCCACTCAGCTTTCCTGTTGAGCCCTCATACATGCTGTCCATGCCACCTGGAACACCCTTCCATGCTCCTGTCCATCCAACAGGTGCTGTCCCCTCGGGCTTAGCTAAGTGCCATCTCTGCTGGGAAAGCTTCTTCCCCACCTGCTGACACTCCTGCCTCTGCATCCCCAGAGGGCCCACAGCTCCTCCACTGGAGCTAGTATCACATGATCATTGTTGACCTGCTCATCTCCCCCCAGAGCCTGAGCTCCTTGAGCGCTGGCTGCCCTGTTCATCCCTGTCTGCCTAGCAAAGGCCTGGTGCACCACAGGTGTTCAATACATCTGTTAAGTAGTGTGAGTCAAGTGATGAGCTCTGGGTGGGCAGAGTCAACAGAACGAAATCAAGAATATATCTGTTCTTAGTGGGATTTAATCTTAACACCTTTTCACGGAAGTTGATAGTATCATTTTTTTGCCTGAGGCTGAATCTCAAAGGAGTTTTGTTGCTTGCATAAAATCCCATGGTATTGTGTCTCAAAGCTAGAATTCAAACCCAAGATCCTGATGTGAGGCCAGTGTTCTTTCCCCTAGAGCTCATCGTGGTTGAACTGGGAAAGGCCCCATAGAGGAGGGTACACTGGAAGCACAGCATGGAGCAGGAATGTATCAAGTTGTGGCACTACAAAAGGGCATGCTGGATGGAAAGAATGATCTTGGCCCCTGCTCTGGAACAGGCTTCTGTACCCTGGAAGGGAGAAAGAACAGGGATCCCTGAAGTTGTGTGTGAAACCCTGTCAGGGCCTGACCTCTTGTGGAGAGGGTCCAAGACTTTCATTAGGTTGTCACAGGGTTCCATGCCCCACTCTCCACCCCCACCCCGTATATGAAGAACAATTTCCCAGAAATTCCTTCTGGAAGGCAGGGACCTAGTATGGTTATTGAGAAGCCTTAGAATTCTCCTCGAGGCATGGCTTGCCAAGAGGAATTGAGTTACTGTCACTGGAGAAGGGTGCAAGACCTCACAGCAAGCGGACGACCTGAGACGCTGGTAAATCTCAAGGGGACGATCCCTACACCTCTCTGAAGAGCCCTGCCCTTAGGAAGCCCTGGGCACGTATAGAGCATTTTCATTTTATCCTTATCACAGGCACACTATAGAACAGTTGGAGAGTACAGAAAGCGTGAAAAACCCAGAGAAGTTACCAATAATCAGAGGCAACTATTGTTTTCATATTTTAGTATATTTCTTGCTAGTCTTTATTTTTTCTATGTAACTTACAAAACTGTGTATAAAAACAATTTTGTATTTGTTAAGTTAAAGTGTTTTTTGTGTCATTATGAGTACTTTCTTCCAGTTTTTTCTAGAATTAGTTTTTTTTTCCAAAAAGACTTAAAATAGTAATGGTAACCTTTATTAAACATTCACCATGTCCCAGGCACTATTTTAAATATTTGACGTGTGTTAACCTATTTAAATCTTCTTTACAACCTGGCGGATAGGTGGTATTATTGTCCTATATTCTGGCCGAGAAAACAGACACAAGTTAAATAACTTGCCCAAGGATACGCAGCTCTTAAGTGATGAAGCTGAGATTATAATCAAGGCAGTCTGGCTCTATTTTATTTTTTTTTTAAGATTTTATTTATTTATTTGAGAGAGAGAGCAAGCACATGAGGGGGGGAGGGTCAGAGGGAGAAGCAGACTCCCCACTGAGCAGGGAGCCCGATGTGGGACTCGATCCCGGGACTCCAGGATCATTCCCTGAGCCGAAGGCAGTCGCCCAACCAACTGAGCCACCCAGGCGCCCCAAGGCAGTCTGGCTGTAGAGCCTGTGTTCTTTTTTTCTTTTTTTTCTCTTTTTTTTAATTTAGAGAGAGAGCGCGCACACACACGAGCAGAGGGAAAGGCAGAGAGAGAGAGAGAGAGAGAGAATCTCAAGCAGACTCCGCCCTGAGTCTGATGTGGGGCTCCATCTCACCCCCCTGAGATCATGACCTGAGGCAAAATCAAGTGGGATGCTCAACTGATTGAGCCACCCAGGCGCCCCTAGAACCTGTGTTCTTTTTTTTTTTTTTAAGATTTTATTTATTTATTTGACAGAGAGACAGCGAGAGAGGGAACACAAGCAGGGGGAGTGGGAGAGGGAGAAGCAGGCTTCCCACAGAGCAGGGAGCCCAATGCGGGGCTCGATCCCAGGACCCTGGGATCATGACCTGAGCCGAAGGCAGACGCTCAACTGACTGAGCCACCCAGGCGCCCCTAGAACCTGTGTTCTTAACCCTGACATTGTTTGAAGCAGTTGACAACTTCCTAGAAACACACTCAGAAAGGTGAGGCATGGTGTGTGACCCTTATCACATGCACCCATGCTTCTTAGACCCCTGGGCCTTTTTCAAGGTTATTTAGGTTGGAGAACCCAGTCTCTGGGGTTCTGACATGACAGCAAGGCTATCCACTTTCTCTACTAACACTTTGGATCTTTGGATCAAAGGGAGCTATGCACTGGAGAAAGAAAATGGAGGGTGGGGGTAGAATGCCTCCCTGAGCTTCTCTTGTTTGATACCCAGGCTGGTGACATTTCCTGCTTATCCCTGATTTAAATAACACAAGGTAAAATACAGTGTATTTTTTAAAAAAAGAATAGAAAAATTATATTAAGGAAGTAGTCACCAAAGCCCTTTTTAGGTAAACAAAGAGGTTAAAAGAGAAGGGATAAAGCTAGGAGCACACAGGGGGCTGGCTTAGTGGAGCATACAACTCTTGATCTCAGGATTCTGCGATTGAACCCCACATTGGGGGTAGAGATAACTCAAATAAATAAATAAAATCTTAAAAAAAAGTACTGGGAGCACATAGACATTCCTTTGTGTGGAATATTCCAATTTGTGGAATTTATATGCTTTTAACTTATAAAAAGAAATGTGTAGGGGCACCTGGATGACTCAGTCAGTTGAGCATCTGACTGTTGGTTTCTGCTCAGGTTGTGATCTCCAGGTTGTGGGTTCCAGCCCCTCGTCGGGCTCCACGCTCAGCCGGGAGTCTGCTTGGGATTCTCTCCCTCTCTCTCTTCCCCTCTGCCCCGCCTCAAATAAATCAATAAATCTTTAAAAAAAAAAGAAATATGTATTAAAATTTCTCTTGATAAATTTTCCCCCCACCTTTTGACCACATTCACCCATTTCCCCCACCCTTCACCCCCCTCTGGCAACTGCCAGTCTGTCCTTTCTAAGTTTAGTTATTTTTAGATTCCACATGTAAGTGAGGTCCTACAGTATTTGTCTCTGTGTGACTTACTTCACCTCACATAATGCTCTCAAGTTCCATCCATGTTGCTGCAAATGGCAGGATCTCCTTCCTTTTTATGGCTGAACAATATTCCATTATGTGTGTGCATGTCTATATATACCATATTTTCTTTATCCTTCCATCATCGGGCACTTAGGTTGTAATTTCCATGTCTTAACTGTTGTAAAGAATGATGCAGTGAATATGGGGGTGCCAGCATCACTGTGAGGTAGGGACTTTGCTTCCTTTGGATATATACCCACAGGTGGGATTGCTGAATCACATGGCATTTGTATGTCTTTATTTATTTATTTATTTTTAAAGATTTTATTTATTTATTTGAGAGAGAGAATGAGAGAGAGAGCATGAGAGCAGGGAGGGTCAGAGGGAGAAGCAGACTCCCTGCTGAGCAGGGAGCCCGATGCGGGACTCGATCCTGGGACTCCAGGGTCATGACCTGAGCCGAAGGCAGTCGCTTAACCAACTGAGCCACCCAGGCGCCCTCTTTATTTATTTTAATTTATAAATGATTTATTGGATTTTTTCAGAAAAAACTAATTCTTTAAACTGAATAAGCTCTATACATACAAGTTCTCATTTTTCATTTAGCTTTGATTTACTTCTTAGAAGTTTTCATGTTTCTGACCAGCCACTGTCTTTTAAACCTCTTGGCATTTTTTTTCTGAGCTCCCCAAGCATTATTCAGAAACTGGGTGGCTGCCCTTTTCCCTGGTAACCTCTTATTTTCAAGACATAGGAACTTATTTACAGTAGTTCTATTGATTCTGGAACCATATAAAGAATTCTCTCTAAAGGCTTTCAGTGCTTAGTGCCTTGAATCTCTGAGATCTTGATCTTCTAGCCTGAGAGCCAAGTGGCTTTTATTCTGGTCCATAGACTCTACTTTTTGTACCTATTTCAGCTTTCTTGGAATCACTTCCTTTTTCACATTCTTCATTTTTCTTCTGCTTTCTTCTTTCAACTTTTTTGATGATGTCATTACATTAGTCTGTCCAACTGCAGTTAACTTCTCCGGAATGTAATCTGGAAGGAGTTTTCTTTGTTGGATGGACAGCTCGTCTTCTTCAAGAGTGCTTTATCCCCAACCAGCTGCTCCCCTTTGTGCTTCGTCCTGGGTGCTGGCCAGTCAGCTCCTCCCTGACAGGCATTGCTGGGCTGCCGGACCAATAGGCAGTGCTCTGCCTTCTCCTCCCCACCCCCTCAACCCCACCTAGGCAAGACATTCCCCCTCCTCCTCCCCCCAGGTGGCACTCTTCCCCCTCCCGGTGGTGCTCTGCCTACCCCTCCCCAAGTTCCTCCTTCTCCCCTCCCCCAGGCCTGCTGGCCCTCCTCCACCATCACTGATGCAGGGGTGTGGGAGGTACGAGGCTGGAGCTGCACCATGGCCCAGGCAGCATCAAACCGCCTCCATTTGTATGTCTTTGGGAAAATGTCTATTTAGTTCCATTGTCCATTTTTTAATTGATTTTTTTTTCTTTTTGCTCTTGAGTGGTATAAGTTCTTTATATATTTTGGATATTAACCACTTTAAAGATATATGATTTACAAATATTTTCTCCCATTCCATAGGTTTCCTTTTCATTTTGTTGATGGTTTTCTTTACTGTGCAGAAGCTTTCTAGTTCAATGGAGTCTCACTTCTTTATTTTTGTTTGTGTTACCTTTGAACTTGGTGTCAGATCCAAACAGTCAGAGCTGAGACCAGTGTCCAGGAGCTTATCCCCTCTGTTTTCTATCGAGGAGTTTTGTGGTCTTAGGTCTTACATTCAAGATCTAAACAAAAGGTCTTACTTGACCTTACATTAAATCCTTTGAGCTGGTTTTTGTGCATAGTGTCACCTTGTGGTCCAGTTTCAGTCTTTTGTCTGTAGCTGTCAGGTTGTCCCAGCACCATTTGTTTAATGACTCACCTTTCCCCATTCTACGTTCTTGGCTCCTTTGTCATTAATTAATCGACCATATATGCATGCTTTTATTTCTGGGCTCTCTATTCTGTTTCATTGATCTGTTTGTTTTTAGGCCAATAACATACCGTTTTGATTAGTATAACTTTGTGATATAGTTGGAAATCGGGACACAGCATGACTCCAGCTTTGTTATTCTTTCTCAAGATTGTTTTGGCTGTTCAGGGTCTTTTGTGGTTCTATACAAACTTTAAGGTTGTTTTTTCTACTTATGTAAAATATGCCATTAGAACATTGATAAGAATTGATTGCAATGAATCTGTAGATAGCTTTAGGTAGTATGGACATTTAAACAATAATATTTCTTCCAATTAATGAGCATAGAATATCTTCCATTTATTTATGTCTTTTTCAGTTTTTAAAATTTTCAAAAATTTTAAAAGTTTTAAAATTTTCAGTATTGAGAAATTTCAGTATTGGGGTGCCTGGGTGGCTCAGTCAGTTAAGCATCCGTCTCTTGATCTCAGCCCAGGTCTTGATCTCAGGGTCGTGGGTTTAAGCCCTACATTGGGCTCCATGCTGGGTGTGGAGCCTACTAAAAAAAAAAAAGGAATTTTCACTTATAACAGTTTTATGTAGTTCTCCACATCTTGTCTGAATATCAGGTAAGTACCAGGAGAGGTATCCATAAATTAAAAGAAATTAGGATAACTCTGGTAGAATCAGTCCAGTAATAGTTCTGTTTGAAACCTTCCCCTTTCTTTTTGCGTTCCCACTGTTTGGTGGTAAATACCCCCAAATTAGATGGGCCTGTTGAAAGTTAGTGAATGCACCATTTGCCTTTTCTTCCTTTTGTTCTAGGCTGATTTTGATAGGATTGCAGAAGATGTGAGGAAGCTGAAAACAAGACCAGATGATGAAGAACTGAAAGAACTCTATGGGCTCTACAAACAATCTGTAGTTGGAGACATTAATATTGGTATTGTGTGTGTGTGTGTGTGTGTGTGTGTGCGCGCGCACACGCGCGTATGTGTATATATATTAAAATGTAATACATATTATTAATATGTTAATATTTTTAAAATCATATATTTTTTAAAATACATTTCATCTGAACAATGTTTATAAAAGCATTGAGTAAAAAGTAAACTTGAAAATATAACTATCCTTCTTTTGGCAGAGTGTCCAGGAATGTTAGATTTAAAAGGCAAGGCTAAATGGGAAGCATGGAACCTCCAAAAAGGTTGTTAATTCTTAAATAAGTAAAATAAACTTTCTTAATTTTCCAATACATCAGTCAGTGAGATACTCTGATTCTGTCTTTCTAGGGCGGTTGAAGGAAGATGCCATGAGTGCCTATATTTCTAAAGCAAAAGAGCTGATAGAAAAATATGGAATTTAAAGTTCATCTATGAGAAAGTTTTTCTTTTGAAGCCTTCATAATGGTATCATTTCTTAACATCTAAGGAAGAAATGCACTGTTAACTCTTTTCATGTCACGAGTATGTTTGCTGTTAACATGAATTGTAATCCTTAATTAGAGGTATGCTGAAACTATTTAATGACATTTTACTTGCTAAAACCAGGGGATTTTTAAAAAAAGTATTGCTCTGGTAGTATGTCACAAAACATTAACAATTTTTTTTTTTGGCTTATCTGTTTTTCTACAGTGAGTTAGTATTATTGGTATATGATCAAAACAGTTTATTAAGAACCAATAACAAGGTTCTGCCTTTATTACACTATGTAACTTTGGGATTCTCACTGGCTTGGGATCTTGGAAATCATAAACATACCTGGTTCCAGTCCATACTCTGTAATTTTTTACTAGGTGACCTGAGACAAATTACTTAACCTTGCTAAGCCTCAACTATAGAGTAGAGGGGGAAAATCAGTCTCACAGGGTTGTAAGAATTGAATGATTCTTCAGATAATTGAGAATTGATAATTGAGGTAACTCTAATTATCCTACCTTCAATTTAAAGCACACATTATATAAAGCCTAACAAATAAAGTTTTTAAAAATAAACTTACGAGTCCATGACTATTCAAAGAAAGAAAAAAGCCATCTTTCAATTATTTTTCTTTAAATTTTTACATTTAAGACAAAAAAATTAAATGTAGTATCTAGTGATAATAAAATGTACAACTACTGTGCCTCTTACATTCATTTTTATCAGAGTGAAAATGCAGAGTCTGGAATATAATAGTGGCCTAATCCTCAGTCTTTCTTGCCGCACACAGGTTCCCTGAAAGAAGATAGTCTTGTTTTAGCACTTCTAAAATCTGTTTGAGATTGAAAAAACAGTGTACTTCTATTCCCTGGATAAGGGTTTGGGTTTGGTATACTATGACCAAGGAGGGATAGATTGATTTCATGTGACTTTAAAAAAAAAAATCTAGATAGACTAGATGAATTTCCAAGGAATTATTCTGAGTGAAAAAAAGCCAGTCCCAAAACGTTACACAGGGTATGATTCCATTTACGTAACTTTCTTGAAATGGGAAAGTTACAGACATAGAGAACAGAACAGTGACTGCCACAGAGCACAGAAGAGGGAGGTAGGTGTGGCTTGAAAGAGCAGCAGGAGGGATCCTGTGTGGATGGAATGTTCTGTCCCTTGGCTGTATCACTGTGAATGGCTAGCTGTAACATTACACTGGAGTTTTGCACATGTTACCATTTGGGGGAACTGGGTAGTTCTGTATTATGTGAATCTACAGTTATCTCCAAATAAAAAGTTTCATGAAAAACGAATCTAGCTTGATTCCTATTCTGGAAAATTTTAGAACGTAAAGATGGTTCTCATCTCTACTAAGTCTTACCTGAAGATTGTCGGGAGTCTGCCATGACGAAGTCAACAGCCAAATGCAAGAAAAGGGAGACGTCAGCAACGACAGGGCTGCTCCTTCCAATGGAGAGCTTGGAAGCTCTCAGAGCTCTTTCCACGTGGACTTCACCTCTACCAGGTGGAGAGGCAGGTGAGAAGGCCCACCCCAAAAGTCTGGCATTGGCTATACCATGTGATTCCCATTGTGGACCATATTAACTAAAAACTTTTCAAATGAATAATCACAAGTCAAATTACTTTTGTGCCAATGCTTTCATAAGGAAGCCCTGGAAATGGTGTCACACCAAAGGGTAAAGCACAGCAGGTACTAAACATGTATCATAATTTGCTTCAGCCTATTTTTAGCCCAAGTTGATTGCATGAATTCTAACTCCTCCCACAATGAATTTTTCATATGATTTGCCCTTTGTTAGAAATGAATGATAAATTCTGTAAAATGTGTCCTGTATGCATTTTGCTCAATCTTATTTATTAAGATTCTATGTATAGGATTTTAAAATCTTAACACAAACATGAACCTATCTTATGTGATCATAAACAAATAGATGCTTTAAAATTTAACCTTAATATATATTGCTGTGTTAAGTACTTTAAGCCTTAAGGAAGATACATCAGTGACACCAAGTAGTGGAGTTTATTGTGAAGATCCCACGGGACATAGGAAATCAGCGCCAGGATTCCAAGAGACAAACACAATTTGGGACTCACCAGAGATTGCAGGAGCCATGCAGCTCCAAGGGGGCGGTGCCCCTTCATTCCTATCAACCCGCGACTGTGAATCCCATTTGTAGTGTTCTGCCTTATTTGGACTCAGCGAATTTTCCCAACTTCTGCTTTTTCCCCTTTTAGCTCCTGTTTTTTCCAACTGTTCGCTTTCTCCTTATGTCAAACCCAAACTGTCACAGAGCAAGGCTGAGGCATCCTGTCGGGCATGGCATTTGTGCTGGGCCGCTCCACACACCAGGGGCCAGACACCAGACTGGCTGTCCATGGGAGGACTCTCGTTGGCCCTAGTCAGTCACTGCCAGGGTCGGGGGACAGGAACAGCACCCACAGAGCCAGCGGGCCCTCAGTGTTGGAGAAGCCCGTGAGGAGGGGGCCCGGGCTTACGGGCATTGTGAGGACTTGCCCACTCAGTCAAGGCACCAATGATGGCTCAGGACTATCTTATTTTAATAAAGCAGTAGGTTATATTTTCTCATTAAATGGGATGACCCTAATTTCAAAAGATTGGATCAAGCTTTGAACCACCGTGTGCTGATGGAGCAATTTGTTTTCTAGCATTTTCCCTGTCTCTCATTTCGGTTAAAATAAGGGAAAAAATGGGTAATTTACTAAGCAGAAGTTTTGTTGACAAACTTCCCACAGATAAGACTCAAATGAGATTCTGATAGAAGATAAAGGACCCTGCCGGAAGTATTCTTTACCCCTTTGTCATCTTCTGTCTCTGGATCCATAAGCGCTCTGTGAAGAAATACATTTATGTGTCACACATCAGCCTGGTAGTAGCAAATGAATAATTTCCCAACCTCTAAAAAAAAAAAAAAACCTAATGAACTACTAAAAAATTAAAAAGAGTATGATATAATCACTTTGGACCCTCCTCAAACTGAAAGGAAAAATCTCTAAAAATAGGCAAGTATCAGTAGTTCTAGACACATGGTTAGGTAGTTCTTGATGAAGGTCTCATCAGAAATTTCCATAAGATAAAAGTGATTTTCTGGGAGTGCATGAACATCAAAACTTCCACCAGTTACATCTTTCCAGGCTAAAAATAAAATTACATTTAAGAACAAATGATGCTTACCACCGCCAACAAAAAGATTTACTTCCAGATACTGCTTTTCTAAAGCTGACACTGGTGGTAGAATTACTTCTAAGGTCTCATGTTCTGTACGTCCTGTATTTTTAATTTCTCCAAGATCCATCAGGACACAACGGTCTTAGGTGCATTCTCTCACTTCCCACACGACTGACCTCTCTCCATTTACACTAAAACCTGGGCCAAATTTCCACTTGTTACAGTAACGGCTAGTCGATATTAGCTGAAAATCATCAAACAAATCTCTCAAAATACCCCAAACCATCAAAACAATTTCACCATTGCTACATTTTTAGATCCAACAAAACATGTTGAATCGCAAGAAGGAACAGCCTCAGATGGCATATCAAAGCAGTAAACTGAAAAGAGCCGGTGAGTAACTTTCCATATGCAACATCTCGGAGCCTCTCCCGGTTAATAACTTCACTTAAAGGAAATGTGGTGCATCCCCACTGCTTTCCCTTTTGCTATTTCCAGCAATACAGACCTTTTTTTTTTTTTTTTTTACTAGTGGTACCTGCACCTGTCAGTACCTGTCTGAGACTCGCTGTGGGCCAGGTCATTTTCTGAGGTCATCTGACTTCTAGAACAATGCAGGTGGCAGCACAATGGCGGCTGGGTACCCAATTGCAACTCAGGGTGAGGCCGGTACCTTGCACTGTCATTCCCCAGAAACGACCTATTTCCCAGCTCTCCACAGTCAGCAGACGGTTGTCAGGGGCAGAGCAAAAGCAGGTTCTCGCAAGCAGGGCCCTGGGTTGGTTCCGCCCGGTTCTCAGTGGTCACAGCAACAGAAATTAGCATTCACTGAACTGGGTGCTGGGTGTTGGGTTCAACACTGGGGACATGCGGATAAATAATCTCATTACTTCTGTAACTTAGGCATTTGGCTGGGAGGCGACTAGAGACGCCAAGTGCTGCCAGGGTCAGGGTGATCTGTGAGCATGATGGCGGGGGTCGGGGGGCAAGCAAGGTCTCCCTGGGGAAATGGAGTGGGCTCTGAGATCCAAATGAATAGGGACAAGGCTGGCAAAGGGAGAGAGGCAGCAGGGGAAGGGGGAAAAGAACGAGCACAGGCTAACAGCTTCTGTTCAGAGAGCGAAGAGGGAATTGGGACAAATTCAAGTGGAGGGGGTAGGCAGGGGTCACGTGTAGGCCTCCTAAGGGATTTTGGCCGTCCTAAGAGGGACAGGAAGCCACCAAAAGGATTGAAGGCGAGAAGTGTCATGACCAGACTTGACTTTTATCCCTCTGGGTAGTGTGGGGGTTGGAGTGGAGGGGGACAGAGCATCTAAGAGGGGATTCCTGCCTCTGCCTGGGATGGAGGAATGCTACTCCGTCCCTACCAATGAGGAGAAAAAAGCCCGACAAACCACAAAATCCTAACTTTCCTTGAACTTAGCTGAGTTTGCAAGGCAAACTAGAAACCAAATGCCAAGGAGGGGCAGGCCCCTAAAGGGAGAAGTGGAATGTGTATGCTGGCTCATGGAGGCAAAGCACGGGAGGAAGGGCCGTGTGCTATACATTCCAGAAGAAATCAGCTAAAATGTTCAAGCGCTGGAGATCAAGTGAGGGGCAGTGTGTCACATGGACTCACAGCAACTTGCAGCCTCCAGGAGGAGTTCACGAGAAAGACTGGGAGCGAGGCAGGGGGCCAGAAGGAGCTCCGTGTGGTCTGTGAAGGCCGGCAGCAGGAAATGGGCTGTGACCTTGAGATGGGTGCTGACCCCGCCCCTGCCCAGGCCCTTCCCTCCCACAGGCAAAAGCCACAACTTGCTGGAGGAGAGGCACCCAGTCCTTTCTCCCTAGGTGCAGGCAAAGACACACGGCTGCAGAGGGGCGAAGCATTAACCTTCTACCCTCGAGGAAGGAGTGGAGAGAGGGCTTGGACCCCCAAGGATACCAACACTACTTCTGGGAAGGGGCAGGGAACTTCCGCCCGAGACCAACCCCAGAAATGAGAAGGCCCAGGCGCGAAGGGCGTGCCCAGGATCAAAGCTCACCCCTGTCTGGGACATCCAAGAACTCCCCATGGTACCCCAGAGGCTAACACGGACATCGGTGACCAGCAATAGCGGCCTGGCAGTGGGGCCTGTTCCGTGAGACACTAGAAAGACTGGAAAATTGAGAAAATGCTCTAGCAGCCTGGACTCCCTGCTGGGCGCACCGTGACACCAGGGACTTGGTTGCTGGTGTGGCCCTGGAGCACTCTCAGTGACCGCCCTGTCCAGTCTAGATGGGCTCAGCCCCGCCCAGGGCCCAGCAGAAGAGATGCGCACAAACCCAGGGGTAAAATTATTTACTTCCATCTCTGTTTTTTTATGCGTGATACCTGGCTTT